TGACTCTGTGTTGGATGCTGGCCAGGAACCAGTTTCCTTCTGCCCTAAGCCCAAAAGAGAAGGGGGAAGGGAGGAAATGGGGAGAAGTAGGGGAGGAGGGACAGTTTTGCCATCCGTCTTTTTCAGCTTCACCTGTAGAACCATCCAGAACTGTCTCCATCTGGAAGGAAGGAAATCCAGTCCAACCCTCTCGTGCTGCAAGTAAAGAAACAAAAGGCCGCCCTGGTTAGTTTGGCTCAGTGGTTAAAGCGTCGACCCGAGGGCCAAAGAGTCTTGTGTTCAATTCTGATCAAGGGCACGTACCTGATTGCAGTTGGGTCCCTGGTCCAGGTCGGAGTCGTGCAGGAGGCAACCAGTTGATGCGTCCCTCTTACATTGATGTTTCTCTCTTATATGATGCAACTCAGTCCTCAATGACATGCCTTTGCCTTGTGTCTTGGGCACATGAATTGTTTTCCCTGAAATAAATTCTCTTCTGGCAGTTGAGCATATTATAAAAGGCTTAAGGGCAGGATTGGACCTTAAAGCGTCCTGAAGGAATGAAGATTCGGCTTAAACTTTGAAGCCTAGTACTATACTGGATGTGATCACATCTGCCGTCACATCTAATTAGGAATTCACAAGTATCAGAACTGAAAGGGACCTCAGAGAATATAAGTCCAAGTCCTGTGCCCAAGATAAGGACATTAAGGTCCAAAGGGGAAATGATTCATCCAACAACACACAGAAATGAAGCTGATCCTAGGATCCAGGTTTTCTCATCTCCTTTCCTGATTATTTGTTTATTTATTTGCTGTCCCCATAGTACCTAGCATTGTGCTGGCCTCATAACTTTTTTTTTTTTTTTGGTAGCAATACTAATGATCATTTATTGCTATGCCTAGTTTTGTGCAAGCATTTTTTGTGTATGTGTGCTTTGTCACCTAGCCCTTACCACAGACATAAGGTAGGTACTAATGTCCTTATTCTACAGGTACACAAACTGAGGCACCCGAGATAACGTAATTTAACAAAACCACACAGATAAGAAGTGGCACAATCAGGCTCCTACTTACAGTACCACACTTAACCTACACTAACAAAGGCTTGGAATCCACAATCCTCATCACCCACCAACTCTGCACCTGAGCCAATGTAGATGTCAGACATCTCCAGACCCAAACCTCTGACCTGTCCTCAGAGATTGGAGATCATGCATATGTTCTCAACAGCGACATCCCTAGCATGGAGCTGCAGCTCCCAGCAGGCTCCATAACTTTTCAATTTGCTCAATAAATTCTTGCTGAATGGAATAGGAACAAGGTGCCTTTATGTACAAGTTGCCCTTTGTAATTATAGAAGCTTTAAAGAATGCGTATTTCCTTTCATAGATTATCTAGTGAATGCTTATTGCTTGGATTTATCAGCTCTGTTCTTCCTTATTCTGTATTATTTTCTGCCTGAGGCTGAATTTAAGCAGAACTGGACAGTTTCCACCCCAGGTACTCTTGTTTATTTATTTATTTATTTTGTTAATTCTCACTCGAGGATATTTTTTTCCATTGAGTTTTAGAGAGAGTGGGAGGGAGGGGTAGAACGAAAGAGAAACATCAATGTGAGAGAGACACATTGATTGGTTGCCTCCCACATGACCCCAACCAGGGCTGGGGATTGAACCTGCAACCCAGGTATGTGCCCTTGACCAGGAATCAAACCCACAACCCTTCGGTCTGTGAGCCAACACTCTAACCATGGAGCCACCTGGCCAGGGCCCCAAGCACTCTTTGGAGGCCAGCAGGGCCACTTAACTATTGTTCCACCAGGGACCAGAAAGGTGGGCTAAACCATTCTAGCCCATGGATCTGAGGATTTCCACCCTAGGAGAAATTTTAGGTGAGAGTTTGAAGGTGAGGGAGGGCACATTGGAGCTGGGTACCCTGTCTGTTCCCCACCAATGCTAACTTTAGAGGGCACAACCCTAGGTAAATGAGACGGGATGTGGAGGAGATGGGTGTTAGCTGTCAATACAGCAGTGTCCACCAAGCAGGGAGGAATGTTGCTTTCTCTCCTGGTCCAGGTACTAGCCAGGACTCTTCTCATGATTCCAGGCAGGAGTAGCAACTCCCAGAGCCCCTAAGATGTTGCTAAGTACTTCTCATTCCCCTCCCCAACCCTGATGCCTCCTTCTCAAAGTCCAATAGTGGTGCTAACTTGCCAGGTTAAATGCCTGTCTCTCCTCCAAGACTGATTTTCTTCTACCAAGAAGCCAAATTCACCACTGGGTCCCAGATACAGAAGTTCTACATTGGGAAACTGAGGCAATGATTAACAAGACAGCCCCATGACACCTGTTTCCATGGTGAATGGTCCTAGCAAATCCATACCCTAGGGACTCATAACAAAAGACACTGTATTCTCTGTGAAGAACTCTTAAGTTCCTTAAAGACAGATTCATTTCTATATTCCCAGTACCTACTACAGGTACTCAAGAACATGTAGAATGAATGTGGAATTGTTTAACCCACACTTACCTGAGAAGGGGATATCTGAGGGCTATTCAGGGCCCCATATGTTGAATTCTATGAACTTCTGGGGTATTTGACCACTGGGGACCAACATATTAATTTCAGGGACCTCCAGAAAAGGGGGCTAGTGTGTTGGGCGTCAGAACCCACATCCCCCAGGCCCTGTTCCTTGGGAGACAAACAGAGAGACCTGGGTTTGAGTCCCTCTTCTTGCTTGCATGAACTCAGTGACTTTTGGGCAAGTTATTTAGTTTCTTCATCTACGGAATCAGAAGTGCCTAGCAGAGGTTTTCCATGAGACAGTCATTGACATATGTCTTACCAGATGGGATGGAGAGATACTTTCCTCATATTCTGAGATCTTGAGAGAAGAAATTCTAGTCTTCAGGGTCCCCAAGTCTTTACTGAATACCTGCTATGCATGAGGTGATGTGCTAGGTGCTGGAAAGGCAACAAGAAATTTGATCTTATCACTTTTCTCAAGTGGCTCATACTCTGCTTGGAGAGGCAAAACATAAGCACAGAGAAAACAAAATCCCAACCCAACCTAATTGCCAACAAGAGACAACCTAGGTTGTATAAAAGGAACAGCAAATGGGTGGCACCATCATTACAGGACAGAGTAAGGAGGATCCCTGTCTTGCAGTGACATGGGATAACTTTGTGGGGGCAGGTTTTCTGCTCAGAATCCTTTGTCCAGACAAAAAATGCTCACTTTGGCTTAATCTTTTAACATTCATTCATTTCATTTAATGAACTGAGCATCATCCCATTAACTTAGAGATCCCGGTTCGATTCCCAGTGGGGCACATGCCCAGGTTGTAGGCCCCGTCCCCGGTGGGGGGCATGCAGGAGGCAGCCAATCGATGTTCTCTCTCATTCATTGATGTTTCTATCTTTCGCTCCCTCTCCCTTCCTCTCTCTCTTCAAAAAAAAAATTTTTTTTTGTTCCAGGCACTGTGCTGGTGGAAATGTGTGGTTTCTATACTCAAGAAGCTTACAGAGATGAACATTGAACCAATAATGCCATAAAGAAATGTATATTTACAAATTGTTATCAGAATCAATAAAAGTATATATAAAGTAAGCTCTGGATATGAGATTCAGGAATTAGCATTTTAAACTAATTTCTCAGGCAATTTGTAAGAACCCTAAAGTTTAAAAAACATTTTTTAGCAGAGTTGCTCAGCGGAAGCATGCTGGGCCCTTAAAAACATTTTTCTGGGCCAGATACAGGTTCCAGTAAGAAAGTCAGAAAGGTTTTAAACCCTCTCTTGATTAGATGTGTGTTCTAAAAAAGGTCTGATTTTGGGAGAAGGTTAGGATGGATGCAGGGAGTGAACTAATAGGTGAGGCAGATATAGTATCTCAGGTGAGGGGTGATTTGGCTTAGTACAAAGGGTGGGTCAGAAATGTGTCTAGGGCTGGAGAGGGAACTGATTCATGAGATACTTTGTAGCAAGAACATTTATCATTTATTCCAGAAACATTTATGTATGCAATTTACTTTTTCTGATTAGATATATGATAGTTGCAAAACTTCAGGCATACAGGAAAAGATAAAGAAAACAAAGGTAAATATTTGGTATTTATTCTTCTGGCTCTTTCTATACACACATACTCAGACATATGGACATAGTTTGTTGTTGTTTACAATAATGGAGTAATTCTTTAGTACTTGTTTGATTCCTGATTTTCAAGAAAACAATATATCATAAGCATCTCTTCCGGTCAATATAGACTTATATTAATTTTAATGTCTAGATTCCACTTAGTAAATGTGCCCTAGTATATTTGCCAATCCCCTACTGAAGGATATTTAGGTTGTTTCCAACTTTTCACATCATTATACTCTCTTTTCTTCCATACTAATTTTTGAACATAAAAATGTTTATTTCCTTAGATAAATGTTGTTAGTGGAATTACTGAGTCATTGACAAACTGTCTAGGTTTAATCACCAATACTCATATGGTGTCCTAAGGGGAATTGTAGATGAGGATGGCACCAAGGTCAGGGACCGGAAGTCTTTTTTTGAAGGCTTTGGACTGTTACAACCATATCCTGGTTTTTCCCAGTCTTTTCTTTTTCTTTTTTTTGGTCAGGCTTTATTGGGTACACTCCGGGCGGGTTCACCGACTCGGGGGACAGGAGTCGGAGAAGCCGCCTTTCCCAGTCTTTTCTTTCCCTGGTACAGATGTAGTGTGTGCGGTCCTAGCTCAACACTTGTCCCAGTCATCCACCCCTAGATTGGCATCTTGGCTGGGGCCTCCGCGGCCCTCCCAGCCCCAGGTCCCCTCCCCCACCGTGGTAGGGCGTGTTAGGAAGAAGCTTAGGCAGGCAACGATTGCACCATCCACGGTTTGAAAAGGAAGTCGAGAAAGCGCGGGGAGGAAAATCAGGCTCCCCAAAGGCTGAGCTCCAGCAGCCTTTCCCGGCCGCCTGCAACGCTCCTTCCAGCACTATTCGCTGGGCTCGGATCCCTTGCCTTCCACTACCTTCCCAGCCCAGCTCTTCGTTGGGTACCAGCCCTTTAAGAAGCTGTCCCGGTGGCTCTGCTGGCCCCGCCCCGCGGGGAGGGCCTAGAGGCAGGGGAGGGGTTGGTGGTAGATGAAGCGAGAGTGGGGGGGGGATTAGGTCTATTTTTAGCTCGGGGTCGGGTCACGTGACTGGAGTGACGTCTCCGAATGTTGTTGTTGGTGGCGGCGGCGAGCGGAGCCGGAGGAGCCGCCGCAAAGATGGAGGAGCCGTCGGGGAGGCGCTGCCGCTGCTGCCGCCGCCGCTGCTGCCGCCGCCGCCCGCGAAGCCGGAGCTCGAGCCACAGGGGGTGAGCACAGCGCACCACCCCGGATTCCACCTCCCCTGGGCCCCCGGGACGCGAGGCGGCGCACCCTCCTCCTGCCGTCGCTGTCCGCAGGCGCCCCCCGCGCGCCGCTCTCCGCGTCCCCCTTCCTTCCTGCCGGCTCCCGGTGCCGGCCGGCGCCCCCCGGGAGCATCGCCAACCCGGGAGCCGGGCCTCGGGGTTACAACGCGCGCCCCTCCCCGCCCCTTCCGTGCAGGGGCGCCTTCCTGCAGGTAAGGGAGGGGCCCGTCTTCCCGCGACCCTCACTCCCAAATGTCCCGGACTCGGCCGGGTCGATCTGATTTGTCCCCTACCGAGTGGCGCATGTTGCGTTGCAGAGTGATTTGAGTCTTGCATCCAAATTCTCTGCAGACCCCTCTTCGCCGGGCACCCCTTTCTTGGTACCCTGAGGTGAGGAGCGCTGCCCACCTCACAGCGCTTCTACCCAGACCTAAGAACGCATTCTTCATTTTGTGTCCTTGAGTTGCGTGCCTGAAGAGGGGGTCTACGGGCCCACCTTATTTCTCTCTCCCATTATTCTCACCTCCTCTGTGAGGCGTTACTGCGTTTGTTCCCACTCTCTTCTCCCGTCTGACACCCTGGAGCCAGAGGGGGGGGGTAGGATGGGAGCTCCCCGCTCCTTGTCTGGGATGGATGCCCCCCCATTTTTTTCCTGGGTCTGTATCTCATGGAGGCAGTGATACTGCCTGTGTCTTTTAACTTGGAGGAGGCTGCTTCCCTACCCCACCCTTATCTGGGGCCCTGGGGAAGATGAGACTTGCTGGGTGATAAGTAATTAATCTGGGAGTCTGGTTGTTGGGGGAGAAGAAAGGAAGGTGATGGTGCCCCATTTGGGGGAGGAGGTGACCACCTGATACCCCACTGTTGGCCTTCTTAGATGAGGTTATGGGTAGCGTCTGCAGTTGCTTTGGGGGGATGCTCAAGAAACTATGACAGTGTTGTTCTCCTGGGGCTTGGAATTAGCTTTGGCGGTTGGGGGTGGTGATGATGGTGATTGGGTTCAGGGTCCAACTGGGAGGGGAGAATGGAGCCAGATCATATGAACAAAAGGATCCAGGAGTCTTGGCCCGAGAGACTCCTGATCAGACTGCCTTGTGGGACTTGAACTAGGGGCTGGGTCTTGCCCTGGGCCTTTTCAGGCTCATAGGATATAAGCTGGGAGTGTCCTCAATCTGTGTTCCAGGCAGCAGGGCCCCTAAGCCTATACTAGCTGTTGAAATGCTGGGCTGGGGATGGTGGGCGAGCCATGTTGGGGCTGCCTGCTTCTTCATACCAGTCTTCCCTCCTTCTTCTCCCTCCTAAACACAAAGCTTGGGGGATCTCTTGGTTTGCTTCCTGCCCCTCCTCTTGAATCTTCTCTTTGCTCTGTCCCCCCTTGGACTTGGATCTAGGCTATGCCTTGACAAGGCAGGCAGGGGTCTCTCTGAGTTGGAGGGGTGGGCCCTTAGTATCTCCACTCCTTCCTGGAAAAATATGCTCGCCAGGGATCAAAGAGACAGATACCAGGTGCAGGTTACTTGGGGGCAAGGATGGAGGACATGTTAGCTCTTTGCCAGCCTTTCCTTCCTCTCCAACATTTTCTCCTCTGGCTGCATCCCATAGTTTGGAGGGAGTAGGGGGCAGCAGTATCACATGCCCCACCCCCTCCAAGTAGCTGCAGAGACAAAGGTTTGCTTTTCCTTCCCTAGGGGTGGCATCTTAGCTGTGTGTTTAGAAATGAGGCCTGGGGATGGGGGGGTAGTTTGTGTTTCTGCATAAGAGGGGAGGAGGGGGACTAACTATAGGAGCTGGGGGGGAGTACAGTCGGTGCTGAAGTACCAGCTGCTCTTTAATAATTAATTCTTCCTACTCACATCCCTTTGAGGAGGGATGTCTGGAACACGGCATCAGGCTCAGCCAGCCTGCTAGAGGGTGCACTCCTGTTGGGGGGGGAGGAGACTGCAAGGGGGGGGCGGTTCTTGGCATTTTTGGAGCACTGTTGCTTGCTCATGAATGAAAACCTGATGCAGCCTGCCTGTGAGGGGGCCTATTGTAGCCTGTAGCCGACTTTGGCTAATTAAACTTTCTCTGCCTTTCTTCTCCCCTACCCCACCTCACCCCAGCCCTCTCTTGAATGAGGACCCTGTCTAGTAGTGCTGGGGAGGGGGTATCATTTTGCCTGAAGTTTTAGGTCAAACAGACCAGGTCTTCTGCCCTCTGCCTCTGCCTCCTCCCTCCCTCCTCTCTCAACCCCCACCCCCTTTTTTTTTCCTAGAAATAGCAGCCTCCTCCATCTGGTTTGTGCAGATGCCTGGAGCTGCGTCTGAGCAGACAAACAGAAATGGGCTGATTGCAAAAATGAATTTGTCAGCCTGGTGCCTTTTTTCCTCCCCTGTTGTTCTCCCCCTTTCTCTTAGTTTGGAGTCTGGACATCCAAGTCAGCTAACCCTCATGACTCTGATAATCCCAGGCTTCTTGGTGGTCGGTCCAGCTTGGGGAAGGAACAGGCAGTGAAAGTTCTTGGAGGCTGGGGAAAATGGTCTCCCATGGCTACAGTCAGGAAGGGTCAAGATGACAGGTCCTTTGCGCCTTGGGATGGAATGTATGGGTTTGTATCTTTCAGTTGAAGTCTTTGGGGCAAATCTCAGATTGTGGACAATTTTAGATTCACAGGATTTGGTTTAGAAGCTCACCTGGCTGCCTGTGACCTGGGCAGAGGACCCTGACCACAGTACTCAGAACTTGGGCCTGTAGCAGGGCCACAGCTGGTATGTTAGGACAAGGCTGCCAGGTGGTGCTGGCATCCAGGTTCCAGAGAGGCCCTCAAAGGGACACCTGACTCCCCAGGAATTCTGAGGGAGCTATTTGAGGGACAAGATCCCTGCAGGGCAGCACTGTAAACTTGTGGTCTTTGGAGCATTACATTGGTGTATATCTCTCTCACTTGTCTGTCTTTCTCCTCCCACCCTCTTCCAGAGTTTTATTGCTCATGAATGGGGTGTATGTGGGGGGGATGTCACCCCAGGGTTTTTGCCCTAATTCCCCTGGCTTAGCCATGAGCTTGTAGGGTGAGATGCTTCCCTCATTCCTTGCCCTACCATCCTGGCTGGAGGTTGGAGGTGAGTTTGGGGCCTAGGGTGGGACAGGGGTCTGACAGACCAAGTTGAGTCTCCTGGAGTCTGCCTTCTTATGATATCAAGGAAGCTGGGCTGCTCACTAGTTTGCCATCCAGGAGCCACACAGCTCTTAGTCCCCAACTGCCCACTGAGACCCTCGTATGACAATAGTCAGCAGTGATTTTTCTCTGGCAGAGGAGGGACCAAAGAGCTCAGATTTTAACCATCAAACTGCCCCACCCTAGACAAGAATCTACGCTTGTCCTGATCAGGCAGTGAATGCTGCTTTGTTTCCCATGGAGGCCTCTGTTCACTGGGGAGGCTTGATGGGAGTATTGGCTGACACCCTGGAGGTGGACAGGACCCAGGGGTCTGCTGCATCTTGCAGGGTGGGGAGGAGTCCTGAGCTCTTGGGAGTTCTAGGGACCCCTCTTTCCTCTTCTCCCCAAGGGGTGAGAACGATGGGGACTTGGGACTGATATTGACTTAGTTTTTGTACCTTTGAGGCTCTACTTCTGAGCAGCTTTTGTACCTTTGAGGCTCTGCCCCTTCTGAGCATCCTGCTGTGGAGGTGTGTTTTACTAGGCAGATGGGCTGGGCCATTTGGGTTGCTGGGAATCGTGGGAATTTCTGAAGCTGTGTGCCCCAGCCCACGGGAAAGGGTGTGAGCAGGACTGGGCGCCAGCCCGGGTGGGCACGGGCTGGGCACAGGTTGAGCTGCCTGCCCACACTGGCCCTGCCAGGGCACCAGCAGCTCCACCTGCTGCATTCCTGAGCTTGGCCGCAGCCCTGCACAGCCTCTTTTGTCCTTGCCCCACACCTGTGCCTGTTGACAGCCCCTCAGCCTCTTCTCACCTCCCCAGTCTGAGTGCACCTTTCTCCAGCTACAGAGTCCGAACCGTGTGGGTAAGAGCAAGCAGCAAGTAGGCCTATGAAGAATTGAGGTCTTCCTAGTGTGTGTATGAGTGCATGTGCATGTGTGTGCTCTTGTGTCCCCACCATGGCTGACTCCCAGGCTACTCCCTTCCACATGGACCCTACCCCTGGGAATCCTTGATGAGAATTTATCTTGCCAGGAGGTGGGACTATCCAGAGGCAGAGCTAATTGCCTGTTCCTGGCTGGGGGAGCATTGTTAGGGCTTAAACATCCAGCTCCTCTTAGCCTCATCTGATTGCTTCCTGCTATCTCAATTTCACTGGGTATTGGAGGGCTTACCTTCTTTTGGCAGAAAATGAATGAGATCATGTCTGGGGTGGATTGTGGGCTGTTTAGGGATGGGCTCAAGTGGGTGGGTGAGTGTGTAGTATCTGAGGCTTAAGGACTAGCTCTGGGAGGAGTGGGGACAGGTTGGCAAACTCATGGTCTTTTAATACTGGGACATCCTCCTCTATTACTATATTGGCCTTGGCAGGCCTACGACTGGGCCTTTTGCTGCCTTTGTACAAACTGGAAAACTGTGTCCCTTATTCTGGTTGGACTCAGCCTGGGTGACCCGTAGCCTGAGCACAGGCAGAGCACAGGCTGGATTTCAGACCTTAAACAGGGCACAGCCTGTACAATATACACAAAGCCCTGAGCTTGGGCCCTGGACCCAAGTCTGGGGGTCACTGGATGTGGGGTGAATGTCTCTGCCTTTCCAAATTCCTAGAAACAGGATGGGTTATGTGTAGAAGAGGGTTACCCTCTTTCCCTGACCAGTTGTTAAATGGGGGAGACCCAGATAGAAGCACATCACATTTTGAGAGTTAACACAAGGATCAGAGAGTAGGGAGATGACACTCACCTGAGAATCCCAATCCAGGCTGCTAGGGCTGGGATACCAGTTTCTCCCTTAACCAGGGACTCCAGGTCAGCCCTGCATCTCCCCACTGCCATGGACAGAGTTCATGCACTTTCTCCTTTGTACACATCTAGTCCCACTTGGGGTACCCTTGGGAATCTGTAAGGTATCTCCACCTGGCAGTGGGCACTGTCACCTGAAAAGGAGTTTGTATGGATGTGACTACTATAGCCATTTTCCTTGAGTGCTGGCAGCCTCACCAGTTAGAAAGAGATGAAACCAGGGTTTGGTTCAGTTCTGCCAATTCCCACTGTGCCTCTGGGCAGTTGTCCCTCCTTCTCTTCCCCAGGCGTAAACTGACAAGCTCTGAGGTCTCCTTCAACTCCCAGATTCCTGAGTTGGACCTCTAACCCTGCTCCATCTCTCTCCAGGGATGCCGTTTTGAGTGCCTGACTGCCTCACCCTGAAGGATGGCCTCGGATGGGCATTAGAGGCACAGCGGTCCCGGGCTCCTGTCCCGTCCGTCTGTCTGTTATCGTCTGTCTCTCTTGACATCACCGCAGCTCCATTCCCTCCCATCCCAGCCCCCAACGCCAGCTTCCTGCAGGCCCAGAGCCGGCATGAACTCTCCCACCGAGTCGGGTAAGAGCTGGGAGGCTGGAGAAGGGCACCCTGGGTGGCTTTGGCTGCAATGGACTTAGAACCTAGGCCAGTTTGAGCTATAAGGGAACAAGGGGGTCAGGAGTGAAGAAGCATTGTGAGAAAAGGACAAAGGTGAACCTGAAGTTATTAATCACAGGGTATACCTGAGAATTGATGGGTCAACAGTCTGGACTGGCCCTTGGAGGACATGGGTCCAACTCTGTCCCTATGCCTGCCCTCTCAACTAGGGGCCCTTTAGTTTTAGCCCTGTCCTGCCCTGTTCACCAAGAAAGGCAGGCCTGAAAGGGGGTGTGGATCCCTGAGTCTCTCTGGGCAGTCCAGAGATGGTGTTGGAAGAAGTTCCCTACAATAGCGGAATACCAAATTTCCTTTTTGTGGTGGCGACTCTCTTCCTGGTGGCATGTTTCTCTGTGTCCCATACTTTTTTTTTGGTGGAGGTTTGCGGGGTCTTTGGGCTTGGTCTGTGTTGGGGGGTGTGGTATTGGGGTGGGGTTGCAGTGACGTGTAGGTGGAGGAGTCTTGGCTCTCTCCTTTGAGTCAGGTACACTACCCTTTCTCCCTTTGGACTAGACATGGTGGATTCCTAATTTGGGGTCTTTGACTCTGAGATTTCCTATTCTTCTCTGCTCTTAGGAGCCTGCCTCATGTTGCCAGAAATAGTCTCTGGGTGGGACTCCAGGCAGCTTTGTGTGTGGGTGGGTCTGGGTGTATGCCCATGAAGATGTGTCCAAGAGGCCTGAGCTGGACCCTCAGGAGTTTCACAGGAGGGTCATGGGTCAGTGTGGTCAAAGTAATAACTGCCTTCTCTCCTTGGCTGTCTCCTTTTGTACAGTCTTAAAGGGTCAGAGCTCTTCTTGCTCAACAGCCTATCCTATCCCCCACATCTTTTTCTGTAAGGGTGGAGGGATATTTTTTTCTTCTTTTAGAGATAGGGAAACTAGGGCCTAGAGATGAAAACCTGTTTGCAAGAGAGACAGAAGTAGCATCAGGGAGGAATCCAGGCCCCTTCATGTCTCCTTCCCCTTTGTCAATTTGCTGGGCCTGGTGCTTTCTGTTGTGGGGCTCTGCTGGCGATATGTGGGAAAGGCCCTGACCAGGTCTTGGGGGGTCCAGCAGACTCGGAGAAACTGGAAGCTGGTGGGATTGTTTGGCTTTGTGACATTTGTTTTGGTCAAGGCTGTGCCTGCCCCCTTTCCTTTCTTTCCTTCCCAGCACGACATGCTCAGGGCATAGGCTGTGGGCAGAGTGGAGTGCCAGCTGGAGAAGTCTGGACTCCTGAGACTTACTGAGTCAGCTCTGCCTGGTGAGCCCCCTTCTGCAGGGGTTGTGCTTCCCTCTCAGATCCTCCCACCTCTGCCCTTGCCTTCCCTCAGCCTGTAGGGGTTCTGCCAGGTAGACATGGAGAGGTCTGTGTGACTTGGATAATGGAGGTTGGGCTATTGAACTCTGACTTCCTGCTTCCTCCTCTGAGTCTGGGCTAGTGAAGGGAGAGGAGAGGCCTGGTGGGTTCTCATCAGTCCCTTGTCCACCTCAGCTGGACACTGTTCCTTAGTAGGGTTGGTTGTGCCTGGCAGTAGTGCCAACTGGGCTACTATGTTGACCTGTCCGGGAGCCACCTCCAGTCACACCAGGCCTAGAGTCTAAGCCACGACCAAGGGAACAGAAGCTGTCCAGAGGCATCTGTTGGTGGCTTGGGAAGGACATTTCCCAGCTATGAGATTTTATTTCCTTAAGTAAAAGGCTAAAATAATCAACCTTGAGTTGATGGGTTGCCTTTCCAGATATTGGTGGTCCCAGTTCTCCTTGCAGCTACTTCTGCCAGGGTTGACAGGAGTATGGTAGTAGCTGAAGGCTTCCACCAGCACCGGAGCAGGCAGCCTGGGAGCAGCTCTGTGCCCTGCCAGGAGGGGCCTCCTGAGGGGGCCTGTAGAACTGGCTGTGCCTCCTGGCGGGCTTTCCAGATCCCCCCAGTAGGGGGAGATGCTGTCTTCTCTTGTTTGGGAAGGAGGGAGAGGAAGAGGGAACTGGAAACTGGGGACCTCATTTTAGGACTATGGGGAGGCCTCAGAACTGGGATCATTGATTGGGAGCACCCCTCCCCTCCTCAGGCCCTTCCCGCCAAGTTTTCCTGGGGCTCCAGGACTGGCTGTCCCACTTGTAGAGTTAGAGCTCCTCCAGGGAGCACCTCCACCCAGCTTGTCCTCTTCAAGGGGTTCTGCGTCTGCTATTCCCAGAGCTCAGGGTGGCATCTGGGCTGGGGTTGCAGGTGCCCAGTGCCAGGCAGAGGCTTGGATACCATGTGCCTTTGGACTCCACGAAAGTAAAATGAAACCACGTATTGTAGCTGGAGCACTCAGGTGTCTACTTCCCCTGTGGACACTCTTCAGAGAGGCCCAAGAAGAGCAGGGGACCACGAGGCTAGGGAGAAAGGTAGGCATGATGAATGGTTAGTCCCCAGGGTCTGGGTGGCCCAGCCCCTGAGCATTTCCTTCTTCTCTTGAATTCCCAAAGACTCGTTCCTTTTTCCTTAGGACACAGAATAGTCCTGTTTTTGGGTTCCCCTAAATTTCTGTCAGTGCAGGAGCTTTCCTGTTTGATAAGTTCTTGCTGACTATCCGCAACATTTGAGACCTTGAGCTCGGCTTGTGGGAAAACAGAAGAAAAATAGAAGGTGGCCCACTCCTGCCCTCATAGCAAACAAGTTAGTAAGAGGAAGTTCTGGGTGAGGGGTGGCAGGTAGACACTTGAGGCGATTTACTTCTGGAGTTTACCCCTCCTCCTGGGATAGTGGGAGCTGACTCACTTATCTCTAGGTTGGGCCCAACAGCAGTATTTCACCTGATGTGCTTGTTTCCCAGTCCTGGGTACAGGCAGAGCTCACTGAGGGGGCTGCCTGCTTTCCTGATGAAGCCGCTTCCTGGTGTCTGGCTTCTCTTCAGGCAAAAGGGGGATTGAGAAGTTAGGCTTCCTTTATTTTTCTGGAACTGATCACTTTTGCTTCTCTCAGTGGGATTGAAGGACTGGCAGAATCTGTCCCCTGCCTGGGCTTGGCCCTACTAGTTTGAAGGAGCTGCCCTGAGACCTAGGACCTAGGCCTGCTCTGGTCACTGCCCTGTCCTCCGTGCTGTTGCCCAGAGGAGAGGGCAGGAGTGAGGCCTGCTGTGTGAGCCAGTTTAGATGGCGACAGGGCCCCAGGAGAAGGCAGCCAGGTTCTTATCCACAGCGTGGGAGGGAGACAAACTTCATGACAACACCTGCCTGCCTAGCACCTCCCAGCATACTCCACACTTTCTCTCCTTCCCTTTCCCAGGAGGGAGGGAGGGAAGGCAGCTGCCCCCTCCTTTCTGGGTGACCAGAGAAACTGGGGCATGGGCATGGGGTGGAACCAGGAACCTGGGCGGCCTGCCTCCCAGTCTCCGGCTTAGGCTCTGCCTTCGAGCCCCTGGGGAAGGTGAGCAGCCAGCCCCGAGGAGAAGAAAGTGGGTTAGTGCCAGTGTGGGGTGGGGGTCTGGGAAGTGGATTCCTGGTGTCACTTCTCCACTTAGGTGCCCCCAGTGCACCTCTGTGCTCACTAACAATTGGGGTCTGCTCCACTTCCTCTTCCCAGCTCCATCATTCCAAAGGGATTAAAGGCTTAGCATGGGATGGTAGGAGGAGACAGGGTCAACCCTGAGGGGATGTGAGGATGCCAAAGTAGGTGTTCATGTTTTTCCTGAACTTGGTTTCAAATGAGAGGGTTCAGCCAGCACCTAGCATGGGATCTGCATATGGCAGCTTCCAGGTGATGCCAACAGGCTCCAGCATGACTGGGCTCAAAGGGCAGGAGAGAACTGGAGGGCAGCAGGCCTGATGACTCTAGGACCCCAGGGAAGCTGGCACCCCACACTCTGTCCGGGGTGCTCCTGGGCCAACCCTTGGCTTTCGTATTGTGCACAAAGCAGACCTTGCTTTCTTCCTTTTGGACAGGTCCCACCCCAGTCTTTTGGGCCTAGGAAATGGGAGCCTGGAGGAGCCTAAGGAGCCAAGATTAGGTTCCCCTCCTCCAGATGTAGGGAGTTGGGAGGTCTGACCCCAGTGTCCAAGGGATGGTTCTGAGGGGATGGTGCTAGCTCTGAATGAGGCTTATGTACCCCCATGCTTTGTGGGTGCTCTGTAAGGTTTGTAGTGTGACACATGGGAGCAGTGGATGGGTGGGGATGCAGTAGAGACATGAACCACGAGGAGAGGGGCTATAGAGCAGGAAGGATTGAGGTTAGGCATTAGGAAGATATTGATGCATCACTTGAAACTCAGAAGTAAAAAAAGTCACTTGTCCCCATCTCCTCTTATTCCCCTGGAGGATTCTGAGAACCACATTGAGGATTGTTTGGCTGTGTCTGACACTTTGCTTCCCACTTCATGCTGTTACTGGAAATCATAACAGTGCTGGTAATTGCCCCAAGCCCCTGGCTTTGGCCTCTTCTGGATGCCCAGTCTCCTGAATGCTCCTGTCTTCCCTAAGCAGAGTTTTTTCCTTAGGTTTCTGGCTGTTCCAGGTTCTGGAGGCCCTGCTTTGAGTCATTATAACTGGTGACTTCCTCTCTTCCAGAACAGGGCTCCCCTGCCATACTCTCCTGTGCCCGGGGCAGACAAGAGGGCCAGGACAGGGCTAGCCAGCCCTTCCGGTTGCTAACAGCGTGGGTGGGTGGAGTCCTGGGCTGGGAGGGGCTGCTGTCCCTGGCTTTCTGGGCTCCCTTGAGTCTGCTACCCATCACACCACTGAGGGGACCTTGGCCTTCCTTTCCCTTCCTTTTGAGAGAACCTAATTGGCTGGGATGAGTTTGGAGTTGAAGGTAGTAAACGAGGTCCTGTGACCTACCTTGAGGTGTGCATCAACTTCAGACCCCTGTTGGAGTACTACTCCATCACCATTTTTCTAGAGTCTGCCTTGGCTAAGAAGCTGAGGCTCCAGATATTTGTTTAGGTCCTGTTGCCCCCTACCCTCCAAATACACATCTTGCCAGCCACTCTATGACCTGGGAAAGCTTACCTGTGCCACCTCTCCTGTCAATGTGCTCTCCACCCAAGGATAGGAGGTACCTTTGCTGTTCCTGGCTGGCAGAAGCTGGTGGGAAGATGGGCTTCAGGAGCCACAGCCCCTGTGTCCTTGGTTGGCCAGCTCCTTCTGGGCTCCTGACAAGAGGGTGAGGTCATCCAGTCCAGGGAGAGGACAGGTGTCCCTGGCTCTGTGCCTGGAGTTGGGGGCAAGAAGGGGCCAGGAGGGGGCTCCAAAATAGCAACTGTGACATCAGGAAGGGGGAGGGAGATACAGACCCAGGAATAACCAGGCTATTAAAAGGCTCCAGTGAGGTCAGGGGGCCAAGTGGGATCTCTGTACCAGTGGGAGGCACAATCTGAGGAGAAGAGATGGGCCAGCAGTGGACAGGGTAGGTGGGTGTCACTAATTCTCTTGGGGCACCAGCCCTAGATCCCAGTAGCACCCCAAAACAAGAGCTGCTCTGTCAGTTCTGGGGCTTGTGGAGAAGGGCTGGATGCTGGCAGCCTCTTGATTCTTCTTAGAGGGGCTCCAACCTCAAGTCTGTTCCTAGCTGGGTTCTATGGTTCATACCTGTAAACGGAAATCCTGGGGTAGCTTCCCTCTGTTGTGCAGGAGGCAGTGGGCTGTGGTAGTTAGAGGGAAGACATTCCAGCCCTACCATTTATGCAGTTATAGGACCAAGGGTGAGTGACTTCATGTCTCAGTGCCTCAGTTTCCTGATCTACACCTATCTCCTGAGGTCATCATGCAGAATAATTGAAGTGGTGTATGTGCTGTTAGCATTGCATCTGGCACATTGTGGGGGAAGAATACCTGTGTTCTGAGAATGGGCAGCTGTGCTCCCAGGTCTTCTTCCCTGGGTGGGAATGAGTCCTGTCCAGGAAGTCTCCTGCTCCCTGGAAGGAAGTTGAGCAGCCTCCAGAGGTGATACCCCAATATGTTGAAGGGAGTTGCCATTTAGCTGATGTGCAGGGGTCTCCCTGTTGGTTGAGGAGGTAAAGAGGTCCTCCCAGCTCTGAGGAAGGGCAGAATTTAAATAAACTTCTATCAGGCTCTTAGGAGGACTCCAAGGAAGATGCGAGGTTGGCCAGGTGGCCCTGTCTGCCACCCTCTCAAAGACCCTTCCTCTTGTTCCTAAACGTGCTCTGGATACGAGAAGGAAGATAGAGAATAGAACTGTTTTTTGGTCTCCAGCCCCTCGCCTGCCAAGAGCAGCACCAGAGCTGCTCCCAGATGCATGGGTACTCTTATGGTGCCCTTCCCCAGCTTAGACTCTGGCCACTGGCTCTGTGGCCTTGGCCCTGAGTGCAGGCCCTCCCCTGTTCCCATCCCCCTGCCTGGCGCTTCCTCCTGGGGTGGAACGCGCCTCCCCCCATGGGGCCTCGCCAAGCCCTGGCTCCTGGCAGCCAGCCTGTGGCTCCCTGAGCATGCTCCACCTATTTATAGACAGGGCCCTCCCCCAACTGCTATTTCAGTCTCCTGCCAGCTGCCGGCGGCTCATTCGGGAAGGAGGAGCAGGGAGTCGGTCCCAGAGCTGTCACCCAGGGCTGGGAGGGAACACAGAGAGCCCGCCTGCCTGCTGAGCTCCTCTTCCTGTTCCCTGAGTGCTCTGCCATACTCCAGCTCCTGAGAGCTGGGACAAGCCGATGGTCTGATGCCCCTCTAGGGGAGAGCTCAGCCTGTAGCTCTGGGGCCTCCTGCCTCCTCTTGCCGTCAGGAGTGCCCAGACCGGATGAGGCACCTCCTTAAGTGCGGGTCCCAGCAGCAGTGGCCTGAGAGAGCCCTTGAGCATTGAGGGCCCACCCAACTACCTTTCCTTTGGCTGACTCCCGCCTCGGGCGGCCCCCTCTGGCATGCTGCTGGTGCCCAAGGCTCAGGGGCTTGTGGAGATGCTGCAAACCATCTATGAGACAGAGTCCTGTTTCTCAGCAGATGGGATGTCAGGCCGGGAACCATCCTTGGAAATCCTGCCTCGGACCCCTCTACACAGCATCCCTGTGGCAGGTAAGTGTCTCAGTGTCCCCACCTGTCCTCTGCCATTGGGCATCCTTGTCTGTGGGGTTGAGCATCTGGCTCTGAGCCTCACCCAGATGGGGTCTTGCTTAGGTCTTGCTGGGGGGCTTTGTGTTGAGAATATGGGTAGTCAGGGAGCCATGCTTACTGAGGCGGGTTTTCCTGCCCTCCCTTCAGTTGTACTCTTCAAGGCCCTTTGGCCTCCGGCAGGGTCAGCATTAACTGCTGGGTCTGTGGATTGCTAGAGGATCCTGGCCTAGTTGGCACCATGGTCAGAGGGGAGGAAGTAGGTCAATGACCTGCCTCCAGGCTGCCCACCCCCCAGGTCTGGGCAGGGGAAACAGCCATAGCTGAGTGTGCACATGAATAAGGCTGCCTGAGCTCCTCTGGCTGGGTTCTGAGGATCAGAGGGTCCAGTACAGTGATTTCTGCAAGTCCTCAGTCAGGAGTCCCCTGGGAATCAGATACCTAGGGAAGAGGCTTGTGCAGCTGTGGTAGAATTAGGCAAAGGCTGGCAGGGGGATGTCAGGGGGACTTTGCTGCCTTAGGTCTTAGCTCCCCTGTAGCTCTCCTCCTCCCAGGCCTTGGTTTGTTTCCATCTCATGAGGGCAAAGAGATGTCTTCATATAGGCTTGAGGAGCCCCTAACCCTGCCACCTTCACAGCAGGGACTTTTTGGCTCTTGGCTGGGGGTGGGGTCCCCTAGAGCTGGACCCCTCCCTTCCTCCCTCCCCTCCTCCCTCCCTCCCTCCCTTCTTCCCTCCCTCCCAGGAACCTGTTGGCAGCATCAGGCCTTTCTGGCACAACCTTCCCACCAGGCCGGCACCACAAGATGCTTCCTCGAGGGAGGGGCCTGCTGGATCCATGCCCACTTGGCCCCTCCTGGTGGCGGCTTGGCACTTGGGTGTGGGTGTCTGTGTGTGTATGTATGGGGAGTCTTTGCCTCTGGGTACGTGGGCGTGGGTCACAAGCTTTGAATTGGAAGGTGGGAGCTGTGATTTGGCTTTAAACCATCCAGGGATAAGGTTGCAGCTGAACTGGGTTGTGTCAGAGGATGAATGTTTCGGGAAAATTTGGAAAACGATTGGAACAAGGCTTGCCATCTGCCTGGGCAGGGATGCCCGTGTAGTCTCCTAGGGTAGGGGCATAACTCTGGAGATCAGCCCTGCAAAGTCCCTACACTGTTCCCTGGGAAGGAGTGTAAACATTGAGGGCTGGTCTAGCCCTGGTCTAGTTTAGTCAGTAGTTGTAGCTAAAGACCCTATCTGCTGACCCCTATCCCAAAGCCTCCAGGAGTCAAGGTGGTCTCTTGGAAAGCAAAGGATTAACTCTGCAGAGCATCTGCTTGGGGCAGCTCTACCCCATTTGGCTGATGCCATATCAGTTCACCCATCCTGCCCTGTTTCCACTGTCCCTTGCCTTTCAGCAGCAGTTGGTAGTTGGACTGAGGTTTTCTCCTCAGCATGTTCTCTCACCTTCTTTCAAGTTAAACCCCAGAATCTTTGCAGTCTGGAACCCCACTACCCCATCTATTCCCTAAGGCTGCCTGTGCATAGAAACCCCAGCCAGCCTCTCTCTCCAGAACCTGTCTCACCCCTCGACACACACACTGCCTAGCCTTCTGAGTGGTGGCGTGGTCCATGCTGGCAGGAGGGAGGCGTGAGTCACCTCAGCAGCTAAGAATGATCCCCCTGCGCAACTCTGATGCTGTGTCTGTGACGCGGCTGGGGACAGATATAGGCCGGGAGCTCGGCTGCCTTGGCTTTTTTTCTTTTTTCTTTTGACTCTGGAATGTAAATAGATGTTTCAAATAGAAACACTTTAACCTTTGGGTTAAAAAAAAATCCACCCCTGATAAACATGGCCATGAGGGTTCAGGCAGCTTGATCTCCCTCCCTCCCACCCTGGCCCCACACATACCACCCAGTCTCTTGATCGGTCTCCAGACAGGATGCAAGAGCCAGTGGCTAGAAAAGCAGGTGTCCAGGGATGCTTTTTGTGCAGTGTGTGTTGCCAGTCCTCTGCAGCATGAGGGGTTGGGCAATAGGGGCTCTCCAGGGTGGACTCTGCCTAATCCAGCAGCAAGTATGGAACCCCATTTTAGGGACATCCATTGCTCTTTGGGTTGTCTTGTTCACAGCCATTTCCCAGCATTAGCACAGTGCCTGGCACATGGATGAATGAATGATGCTTGAGGGGCTAACGTCCAGGGCTGATGGCAGGATTCCTAGGCTCTATTCTGGGCCTTGGCACTCTGGGTAAATAGACAGATATGGTAAGTTGCCCCAGCGGGTGAGCCAGAGTCTTGGCAGGCAGAGCCCATGAGGGATGCGGGACACTCTCTTGTTCTTGCTTGAGGAGGGGGACATCACAGCTTAGTTCTTCCTAGGTCTAGTGCCATCCTGGGTCTTCCTTGAGGGTTCCTCCACAACAGCCTAGCACACAGTGGGCACTCATCTAGGCCTAGCTTGGGGAGCCTGAGAGCTTGAACTCTGCGTGGCATTCCCCAGAATTTAGCGCAGGGGCATCCCCTGCCTCCCGTCTTTGGGCCCTAGATTCCCCTTCAGCCTGGACTGGGCAGAGCTGATGTTTGGGCAGCGTGCAGGATATTATGAGCAGGCACAGAAGAGGAGTCTCCTTTCTCCAGTAAGGGTGTATATCCTGCTTATATCAGGAAAAGATGCCGTGGATATTGGGATATTGAGAAGTGTCATGGTGTGGTATTGGGGTTTCCCCTGGATATTCATATTCACATTCTTTAGATCCTTCCAAGCTTGGCTTGGAGTAGGCGTAGGGTGTGGGGAGGGTAGGAAGGGTGAGACTCTGATTGGAAGGGAACTAATAGTGTACCAAGTCACAGGGTTTCAGGTGCTTCCCTTACCTTATCTCTTCTAGGAAGGTATTAATAGCCTTTTTTAAAAAAGAGGGTTTATTTATTTATTAAATCTTCACCCAAGGATATTTTTCTATTTATCTTCAAACAGAGTGGGAGGGGGAGAGAAAGAGAGAGAGAGAGAGAGAGAGAGAGAGAGAGAGAGAGAGAAAGAAAGAGAAACATCAATGTGAAAGACACTTTGATTGGTTGCCTCCCACATGACCCTGACCAGAGCCGGGGACCAAACCACAACCAAGGTCAATGCCCTTGACTGGAATTGAATCGACAACTCTTTGGTCTATGGGCTGATGCTCTAACCACTGAGAAAAACCAGCCAGGGCTTAATAACCATGTTTTATTTATTTATTTATTTATTTATTTATTTTTTATCCTCACCCGAGGACATTTTCCCATTTTTTTGTTCAGGTAGAGTGGGAGGGAGAGAGAGGAACAGAGAGAGAGAGAGAGAAACATCGATGTGAAAGGGACACATCGAGTGGCTGCCACCCGCACGACCGACCAGGGCCGGGGACAAACTGCAACCGAGGTATGCGCCCTTAGCGGGAACCGAACCCGGGTCTCTCAGGACGCAGGTTGACGCTCTAACCGCTGAGCCAAACCGGCCAGGGCAATAACCATGTTTTATAATTGAGAGGGATCAGAGAGGTTAAGGAACCTGCCCAAGGTCACAGAGTAAGTGACAGCTGGGATTCAGACTCAGGTCTCTGTGTAGGGCCACTGCCAACCCATGCAAGAGCTCCTTTGTGCAAATTTTTAAAAGTGGCCCTTCTTTCAGGTGGATATCCTCATACCAGAGTGCATGGCTTAGCAATTGACTGTGGGCTGGATTTTAGTCCCCAATTTGCCCCTTTTGGTCAGGTGCCCTTATGCATTTCATAACCTGCAAATCTTATGTAGTTGACCTGTCTTTGTATCTCTAATTTTGTGCTCCTAGACAATAGAGACCAGTCTGGCCTTGAGGAGACTCTAGAGGTTTCTGAGAGGAGACTGTTTTCTGTAAATACTAGGGACCACTTGGTCAGCTGTTTCCCTTCCCATAGGGATTTCAGTCCAACCGGAGAAGGGGCCTCAGGAACAGAGTTGCACACCCTGTCCCTTCAGACAGCTTCCCCTGCCCCATCCCCTCCTACTTCATCCCCTCTTTTTGTTTTTGAGACCCTCAGCTGTCCTTTCCCTACTGCACAGCTGCCAGACAGGAAATCAGATTAACTGTGTCCACACACACACAGCTGTAACAGCTGTCAGGTTGGCAGCAAAAATGAGTGCAGGCAGCCCTAGGACTCTGTGAGAAAGTAATTCTCAGACTTTCAGTTTCATTGGAATTACCAAAGGAATATAATAAAATGCACATTCCTAAGACTTGCCCCATATACCCCCAGGTTCATATCCTTTAGGGCAGCCCAGAAGCCAGCATTTTAGTACATCTCAGGTGATTCTGATGGGAATAGACTCGGATCATGCTTGGAGTGGACAGGGGTCATGTGGACAGTGGTTATGGAGCCCAGTATCCTGCCAGTGAGTGTCACCAGCACCCCTGGAAGGCCTCAGTGGGCTTTAGGACTCTTGGGAGAAGGGCTTAGTGCAAAAAGAGGGAGATTGTTACCCCAGTCAGAGTCAAATCCAGCTCCAAGCAGCCTGGCAGTCTGGAGAGGGAGAATGTCTTGAGATGCTGGGGAGCAGGTGGCTAAACCCCAGCCGGAGTGGGAGATTATGGCAAGTGGCCAGGTGGGCAGGCGGGCAGGCTGCCCTGCTGGATGTTCAGGGCTGTGTTATGCCCTGAGGCCCCTGCTGTCCACCCCAGGTGTGGAGTGAACAGTCCCAGCAACAGCTGCAGCCTTTGAATGGTTATCGTGCCTTTTAATTGCCTCTAGCTTGGTGCCCAAGTGTTTCCTGGAAATAGCTGGGCTGGGAGAAGTGAGTCTATTTCTCCCCCACATGGCAGCCCAAGATCAATGATGAACTCCATCTTCACTAGTGAGAGACATGTTGTGCGTTGCACTTGGGCTCTGCACCCCGAGGCTGAAGGTCCTTCAGAGGCATGGTCTGTCTCAAGATTTCTGGGGATTCCATCTACTTGGCTCCCTTCTACCCTGTTC